GAACTCATTTTTCTTCAAAGAATAATAAATCTGAATGTCCTTTTCATATTGTTCACTCTGATGTTTGGGGCCCAGTTACTTTATCATCTGAAAGTGGCTACAAGTATTCTATTACCTTTATTGATGACTATTCCAGGTACACATGGGAATATCCCATGCGAACTAGGGATGAAGTACCAAAAATTATCCAAGATTTCCAAATAATGATTTTCACCCAATTTCAAACCGAAACCCAAATCTTCTAATATGATAATGTTAAAGAATACTTCCATAATGATCTCACGGAGTTCTTTGCTTCACGTGGATCACTCCACCGTAGCTCTCGTGCCCGAACACCACAACAAAATGGTGCTGCTGAAAGAAAGAACCACCATCTTCTTGAAGTAGCTCGAGGATTATTGATTCATATGAATGTCCCCAAATGTTTTTGGCTAGAAGCTATCATTTGTGCTACTTATCTCATTAACCGTATGCCCTCTCGATGGTTAGAGTACAAAGCCCCACATCAGCTTTTGCTTCCCAAGGCTCCTCTTTTGTCTATTCCTCTCGTGTCTTTGGTTGTCGTTGCTTTGTTCAAAACATGTCACCCACTCGTGGGAAATTGGATCCTCATGCTATTCCTTGCATCTTCTTGGGGTACCCTACAAATCAAAAGGGGTACCGGTGCTTTGATTCCGTCTCTCGAAAATATCATGTTTCCATGGATGTCTCCTTTTTTGAGAGTGAACCTTTCTTTCCTATTTCTCCTCAGGGGGGAGTGTAGGCATGAGGACAAACAGGTTCAGAATCCTCCTCTACCTCAGATTCAGCTCCCTCTACCTAATCCTCCTCTCTTTCGTGTTTTCTGTCGTCGTCACAAAGGCCAACCAAGTTCAAGGGCTGTAGAGCATCTAGAAGTTGTACCATTGATATTTCTGGCCCTATTGTTATTGATACCTCCAATGTTGATGATCTTGACCTTCCTATTGCTCACCAGAAGGGTGTTAGGTCTTGCAGCACTAAGCACCCCATTTCCCATTTTTTTTCCTATGAAAACATATCACCTTCCTTTCGGGCATTCCTCTCTTCCATTGACAGTGTTCCTATTCCTACTCCAAAGAATGTGGCAGCAGCTCTCTTGGTGCTTTAATGGACAGATGCAATGAAGGAAGAAATTAATGCATTACATAAAAATGGTACATAGGAATTGGTGGATCTTCCTAAGGGAAAAGAACCAATTGGATGTAAATGGGTATTTACAGTGAAACATTGGGCCGATGGAACAATGGAAAGGTATAAAGCTCGTCTAGTGGCAAAAGGGTTCACTCAAGTGTATGGGGTGGATTATGCAGAAACTTTTGCACTAGTTGCTAAGATGAACTCCATAGGGTTCTCTTCTCTTTAGCTGCTAACTTCAATTAGGACCTTCACCAATTGGATATCAAGAATGCATTTCTAAATGGTGGTCTTGAAGAAGAAGTGTACATGGTACAACCCCCTGGTTTCTGGGCTCAAGGTAATGAACAAAGGGTATGCGGGTTAAAAAAAAAAGGTCTGAAACAATCACCAAGAACTTGGTTCAGCAGATTCCAAGTGTTGTACAACAAAAAGGCTACAAGAAATGTCAATCTGATCATGCATTGTTTGTGAAAAGAGGGGAAGGGAAAATTGCAGCCCTAATAGTGTATGTTGATGATGTAGTTATCACTAGTGATTGGAAAGATGAAATTCAAAGATTGAAGGGATTTCTTGCTACTCGGTTTGAGGTGAAAGATCTAGGTCTTTTGAGATACTTCCTTGGAATTGAAGTTGCCTACTCACAAAAGGTATCTTCATTTCTCAGAGAAAGTATGTCCTAGATCTATTAAAGGATACAAGAAAGTTGGGAGTGAAACCCGTTGGTTCTCCTATTGATCCTAATCACAAATTAAGTGATTGTCCAGGTGAATTCATCAAAGATGTGAAGCAATTTCAGAGGCTTGTAGGAAGACTGCTATATCTCTGCATGACTCGGCCAGACATTATTTATGCAGTGGGTGTTCTTAGTCAATTCATGCATGCCCCTAAGACCACCCACCTTGAAGCAGCTGAAAGAATTCTCAGATATCTTAAGAAATTTCCAGGTGCAGGTTTATTGTTCCAAAAGCACGGACATTTGAAGGTTGAAGTGTATATTGATGCAAATTGGGCAGGATCACTGGATAATAGAAAGTCTACCAACGGCTACTATACCTTTGTGGGAGGAAATCCAGTCACTTGGAGAAGCAAAAAGAAAGAATGTGGTGGTTACGTCTAGTGCTAAAGCTAAATATAGAGCAATGTCTCATGGAGTGGCTGAAATAATGTGGCTAAAAAATCTATTGAGTGAGCTAGGATTTATAGTTGATGGACCTATGACTTTATACTGTGACAACAAGGCAGCCATAAACATTGTTTCCAACCCACTACTGCATGATAGAACCAAGCACATTGAGGTAGACAAGCATTTTATCAGAGAAAAGGTTGTCAAAGGGGAAGTGTATATGTAAAGTCTGAAGATCAACTTGCGGACATCTTCACAAAAGGGTTACATCATTTGTAGCACAATGATCTATGTGACAAGTTGGGCATAATTGACATCTATGTCCCAACTTGAGGGGGAGTATTAAAAGGCTGTTTATAAGTTGTTTTTCTTTATGTTATGTTCTGGCCACCCTAATATAAATACCAAAAAGCTAGCACCGCCAGCAATAATTCTTGCTCTCAAATCTCTCCTTTCTCCTCTCTCTTTCTCTCTTCTCTTTTCTCTTCACTTCAGCTTCTAGACTAGACAAACTATGCAAAGGCCTCAGGCCAATGTCCAAATTTTAACAAATTTGTAGTTTGTTTCTCAACGAATACTCCTCATAGATTCTAGAAGATGCTCTATAAAATGCTCAAAATCCCTTTGGAGGCTAAATCTAATTCTTATGTAGGGGCCCCCATTATCACCAAAAGAGTTACAAAGAACACATTTACTCAGATCAAAGAGAAAATGATGAATAAATTGGCAAATTGGAAAAAACATTCTCTATCAACTGCAAGTAGATTAACCCTCATCAATTCAACAACAAACATGATGCCTCAATATATAATGAGTTCCTTTAAAATCCCCAAAAATGCTATAGATGAGTTGGATAAAATTCAAAGATATTTTCTTTGGGACAATACTAATGGTAAGAAATCCCTCCACTTGATGAATTGGGAAAAACCTGCAATTCCAAAAGGTGGGGAGGTATGGGAATAAGAAGACTCCACTAGGTCAATGAGGCTAGTTTTGATAAGTTAGGGTGGAGGATTCTGAATGAGGAAAATAACTTGTGGGTGAAAGTTATTAAGAGCAAATATTTGAGAAGGGAAAACTTTTTGAACATCAAAATTAAAAAGGGGATCTCTTGGGCTTGGAGAGGCATCCTCCTCGCTAGAGATCTCATTAAAATGGGATCTCGTTGGCAAGTGGGTGATGGAAGTACTATAATCTTCTGGTTGGATAATTGGGTATATGACAAACCTCTAACTAAAACTTTGAACCATGGAAATATCACAAATATTAATATTAAAGTAGTAGAAATGATAGATTTTGAGAGGGATTGTTGGAAGGAGGACAAAATTAAAGCTGAGGTCTCTGAAAATGCTTGGCAAGACATTAAGACTATTCATATTGCCCCTAACTACATAGAGGACAGAATGGTTTGGGGGTGCAATCCTAAGGGGACCTTTTCTATAAAAACAGCTTATTTGCTCAAATGTTCCTCTATTGCAAAACCAATTGGCAACTTCAATTGGCTGAATAACATTTGGAACATGAAATGCCCTCCAAAGATTAAGTTATTTCTATTTTTTCTACTTAATAATAGACTGCCTATTAAAATCCATTTGAGGAAAAGAGGATTTAATATTGATGGCTCTTGTAGTTTTTGTGGATTTGAGGAAGATACTAAACATATTTTTAAAAGTTGTGAACACACAAAGCAAGTTTGTCTTACTTTAAACACACCCTTGGAGGGCCCAAATGAAAATGAAAATCTAAGTGATTGGTGGACAAGAATGTGCATTAAAAAAGAAAACAAAACTCTGTTCATAAAGGAAAAACTGGCTTTTGTTCTCTGGGTTGTCTGGAAAAATAGGAACTCCAAACCTTTAATGATGTTACTACTCCCATTCCAATAATTTTAGATAGAGCTCTCAACATGTTTATGGAAAATTTTGATGGGAGTTAATTTAGTACCTCTACAACATCTTGCAAAATTTGGAAATAAATTAGTTGGAACGCTCCAAAATATGGCTATATTAAAATAAATTTTAATGCCTCTCACAATAGTGATGGAAAATGTTCAGCGGCCAATATTGTCCGGGACCATCTTGGTCAGGTACTAACAGTCAAAGCTTGTAAACTTGGTACCTGCTCTATCAACCAGGCCGAAGCATGGGCTGCATGTAAAGCCCACATCCAAGCCACAAACTACAGGGAGTTTCCTATCATCATTGAGGATGTTTCGTCTCTTGTTATCTCCTGCCTCAAAAGAAAGGTGGATATTCCTTGGAAGCTGAAAGGTATTATCTCAAGCTGCCTATGGAGGAGAGATCTGATTGAAGGGGGTCTTTAGTATCTACAGGTTTTTAGAGAAGCTAATTGGGCAGCTGACTGGCTTGCTTGCGAAGCTCTTTCTATTCTTTTAGCATCTCATCTCTTCCCCCTTTTCTTCTTATTTGTTCTGATGAATTTTGGGGACATACCCCCCCCCCACCGTTGTGTTTAGTACATTTCTATTCTTTTCAGAAAAAAAAAAACCACAATTTTATCATACAGAAAATAGGCCTACACATCAAGTGACGACTTAAATCCAACATGAGAAATTAAAGTCAGACTAATATGAACCAGAGATCAAAGTTCCAACTAAAACAACTTCCTGAACACAGTGAGCATGAAAATTTTAAAAAATAATAAAAAAAAAAGATCTTAACCAGATGAACAGTAAGATTACAAAGTCCAGGACATGTACCATATTCACTGAGCGTGGAACGCGCACCAAATTAGGAGGATTTCCATTGTCATTCTTGTAGGTTGAGTTGTACCATATGCTTACATTGAAATTATGTTCATTTGTGTCCAAGAAATCATAAGCTGCCAGGAAATTTTGAATTATATGTTGACCTCCCAGAGTAAAAATTTTAATTAAAAAAATGAAAAAGACAAGAAGATCAAGCAGACAAACCTGCAACAAACTCATTAATCTTCCTCTCTGAATTCCCTTGTTGGTAACCCTTATATAACTCATCATTTACCTCTGAAGAACTATTACGCCATAAATGTAAACCTTGCACACATCTTACCTCTAAATCCATGAAAGAAAAGAAGAAGAAAGAAAGAAAGAAAGAAACAGTTCAGTACAGGAAACCTTGAACAATATTACGAGAGAGAGAGTCATCACATTAGGTTTCTTGAGATGATGGAGTTTTCCTAATTCATTAACAATTAGGAATAAATATATAGTGAAAATATCACTACATGATCAATGTATGGATGCATACCATTTGGGTGGGAAGCTAAACCCCCTCCTAAATGCCTGGTCATCAAAACAGTGGCTGGGGAGATTCCCTTGTTTGTTTGTTTTATTTTCCTGTTTCACCCTTCTATTACAAGACAAAAATCATCAACTATAACACAGTATCCAAGGCATACATGCAGGAGTGTGACTCCACAGCAGATTGGATCCCACCATGGGGATCTCCAATAGAAAAAAAAAATTGACCAGGTACATTACCTAAGATATATGATCAATAGGCTTTCTGATTTTACCATTTGCCAGCCCTTTCCTTTGATCATCCTTCGAAATTTGTGTAAAAGGCCATTACCCAATGTTGGTCCCAAGCTATCTGGGGTCCTGGGAGGGTGTATTGGATATGGTCCTACAATTTGGATTTTTTTTTTTTTTGCATAAAGTGGCCACTCTCAGACTTGAACCAGCATTCTCACACTTGACAGAACAAGATTTTACCATTAACACCAAGTAATCGCCCCTTCAATATTTATGTTTACAACTGTAACTGCTAGTTACCTATTAGTGGGATCTATTGCTGGACCCCAATAGGAATTAACCTTTGAGCACGTAAATGCAGATTTCATATTGGATTCATACAGAAGTTTCTACTTACGCGCTTGAAGGTGTGGTCCTATTGGATCCAGCAAGGCAGCAATAGATCCCACTCAGGTAACCAGCAGATCCAAGTGCATAACTTGGATTCCCTTCAAGAGACACCAAAGATGCATTCTAAGATAGTTATGGCATACACCAAACATGGAATGTAGACATGAGATATTCTGGAGAAAGCAACAAATTAATGTAATCACGGATTGGTGGACAAAAAATATTTATACCTTGTTGCCTTGTCTCAGATGCTATCGGGTCCGGAACAGAAAGTGAAAAGTTTGGTGCACACTGAGGTTGAATGATATAGACTGGAAGGCCTGAGAAAAAGGCTGGTTCAAGAAAATTGGTGATTTTTGGCTCTGAGTATGAACCCTGAAAGATATATATCATATTGGCATAAGAAAGTACCCATGAACCCTGAAAGGCTTTCTACCTAATTAGCAAATATGGGTTAACAAAATAGGAGAAAACTGACCAGGAGAACACTGGTTAAACTAGAAAATATATGAGAGGAATTTGGAGAGAAAGCACCCATGAATAAATTCCCTGCCAAGCCTGTAAGAAGTTAACAGGTTAGGATCTAATCACATGATTCTTTTTTAACTCCTCAATCTGATAGTCAATAGAAAAGCAAAATAAAAGTATAAAACAAGGTAGACATGGAGAGAGAGAGAGAGAGAGAGAGAGAGAGAGAGAGGGAAACATACTTTGCCCTAGAGATTGATTACCCCCAGTGAGAATTATAGTTACGGGACAAGATCCTGTCATTTTGCAGGAGTCATCTGGCAAGTCTAAAAATGGAGTAAAATCAGTTCTAGAAGCACGAAATTCTGGAGCTGGAATTTGCAGAAAAGGTGGCCAATTCACAGGATGGGGAACAGGACAAGTGAAGGCTTGATCCAAAGTCGAGTACTCAATCCCACACACTTTTGTCTCACACCTTGTGTCAACACAAGAGCAGCCACACTTGTTCTTGGGCTTATCCAGCTCATTATCCACCAAATGTTGGATGAGAACTAGTAGCAAACAGAGGAAAAATGGGAATGCTATGAGCCTGATATTTGTCCTGAGGTTTCGTTTCTGCAAAAGTAGAAGATTCTGGTAAGATTAATATCTCTGTGAAAAATGTATCAAAAAATGCATCAAATTGAAATCCAGTTTCAAAGAGGTTCCTATTTCATTTGATCCCGTACAGAAATTAGGTGCACCGTATCCCAGTTCATGAAACTGAAACTTAAAAATGATAAAAATAAAAGAAACGGAAGAAGGACCGCCCCCCCCCCTCCAAATCCAAAACCGGGATTTCTGATGATCCAATAACTTTCAGGGGTCAAGCAAATGAAAGTCTCGTCAGAGGAAGGATAAGCAGAAAGAAAATTATCCAGTCAGGGACACCTGCAGCGTTACATTTTTTTCCCTAGATTTGTTTTTTCCTGAAAACCGAACTGTACCTTTTTTTGTCTACAATAAGATTATGTAAGCAGAAAACTAATCCTGGAATGATACTCATAGAAAACAATTGAGTTACAGAAGAAAATAAGTCCTAATATTTTATACTAGTAAAAAAAATGAAACCAATTATTACTAAGCAGACAGGTCCAATTCGAAATTAAAGTGACGAATCTCGAAAACAAGAGTCAGTGAAACCAATTAAGAACATTCGAGAGAATTAAACAAGGTAATGAAGAAGCGGCAAAAATAGAGTTCAACAAGCAAAAACTTGCAAAACCGAAGTTCAACTAATCCAGAATGCGAAAAAAGACCTGGAAAGTGAGGTTCTTCCTGAGCAAGGCGTTAGCCTGAACCATGAAACTCGCAGGTCCATGGGATGAATCCGCCATTGATGTCTTCCCCTTGGTTTTGGTTTCTCTCTAGGCCAGATTTTCAGAATACACAAGAAAAAGAAGAAGAGAAAAGCTTAGGTGTTAAGCTTTCTGGTCATGGAACTGGTAACAGTGAGGAATTAACATGAAACCTACAATTTCCCGTCAGACTGCTCAAGTAAATCGTAGGTTTTGTGGTAGTTGTTTGTTCAATTTGTCTCACTCTTCTCCCTGCAAGCATGTGTATGTCGTTAACTTGTTAACGACCAACTGCTTTTATGATTTATCCTTCTAAACTCAGGACTCTTTCTATAAAGACTCAAAGGACCATAGCTTCATTTATTCTCTTTGAATTGCTTTCACGACTCAAAAGTCAAAATCATCGAAACGTTGAAGGCAGGCTATTTTACTCGTTAGAATATTAGAATGTGACGTTTCTCAGACAGTGTAATTTCCAAAGTACTTCCCCTCCATATGTAATAGCTTTTTTAACCAAATATATATATATATAATATACATATGCAATAGCTTCATTATTATTTTTTTTTAAATTGCTTTCAATAGTCAAAAGTCAAAATCATTGGTACCTTAAAGTTGAAGGCTATTTTAGTCACAGAATATTTAGAATGTGATGTCCCTCAAAATCATTCGCCTTATCCGAGAAAATGTCGTGTTTTCTAGTGCTACCAATAGGGGTGCAAGTCGGGCGCGTTTGGCCGGATTTATGGTCAACCCAGGCCCGGTCCTAAAGTTTGGGTTTAAGACCTGAGCCCGGTTCGAGCCTGAGGTTAAGTTTGATTTTTTCAACCTGAGTCCAGTTCGTCTTGTAATTTGATGTATTCGGGTTGGTCAATGAATTCATTCAAAAATTATAGATATATAAATGTATTTATGCAAATATATATACATATATTTATGTATAAATATGTATGCAAAATATTTATACAAATGTTATATATATGTATATATGTATGCAATATATATATATATATATGTATAAATATATATAATTGGGTTGGGCTCGGGCTACCTAAGGGCTAGGCCCAAGCCCAGCCCAAAAAATAAAAAACCCAATTTCTTGGGCTCGAGCCCAGCTCGAGGACAAAAAATCCAAGCCCAGCCCATGTAAAATTCCGAGTTGGGCCAGTTTGGGCTCGGGCTGGGCCTGCCCAAGTTGCACCCCTAGCTACCAATGGCATTTAGGGTCCATTTGGTTTGCAACCAGAGTTGGAACTAAAATTAGAATCGAAATCATTTGGAATTGGAATCAAAATGATCTATTCTTGATAAGGCCAAAACCAACCACTGGTTAGAAATTGCCAAGTGGCAACATACTGCGGGGCAAAGTTTTCAGTTAACGAGCTAACTTGTCTTGACGAGCTGGCCTGGTCCTTACAAGTTACAAGTTGATCTGGTCATGACGAGCTACAAGCTAACCTAGTCCTAATGAGCTGATCTAACACCAAGTCATAACATGCACAAGCAACACATGGCTTAGCTGATTAGAACATCAATGTGCATGCAGGCCCACTGCCTACCACGTGCACACATGTCAACTGAGGGTGCAACAAGTGGACTGAGCTCTGACCACATGTGAGAGATGTGTCGATTCTTGGATGAAGCCCCTCTCATATAAATAGGTGAACATGGTAGTATGCTACTATGAACAAGGCATGTCGAACACCTCGACACATGGAAATCACCAGCTCCCCCAATGAGCTCCCCTAATGAGCTCCCCAATTCATCCATACAAGCTCTTCAGCTCATCACATGGAGCTCACCTACTCCCCCTACAAGCTCTCCAACTCATCCATACGAGCTATCCAACTCTCCTTATGAACTCACTAGCTCTCCTCACAAGCCCTCTAGCTCTTTACATGAGCTCTCACCTCATCCCACTAAGCTCTCCAGCTCACCTTATTTTCCCTTGGCATTACTAACTTAATTGTCGGAGTCCACATCCCTGAGATTACCAGGGCCTCTAACATCTATTATGGTTGCAGGTCTCTCTTAGTAGCTGAGGTGCCGAGACAAGGTGTTGAGCCAAGGTGACACCCTACTCCAATAACTTTCCATCCTTGCCCTTGTGGTTAATTTTGATCCACATCAACTCCAGTAGTCTGTTTGGTTCAAACAGGAATGGGAATGAGATTTTGATTTCGCTCAATTAAATTGTTGAAATCAGAATAGCTCATTTTGATTTCAATTCTAGACCCATATTCTTGTGAACCAAACGGGGCCTTAGTCCCACAATTGGTTTGGGGAAAAAGTATAAATACATATATGTGAAATACAATATATATATTTAATATATTTATATTTGTATTCTTCCCAAATTAACCCTAAAGTAGATTTTCCCAATTTATCTTAAATCAACCTCAAATTCTCCATAAAGAATTAAATAAGGGTCGACTACTCTTCGGGGGCGTTCTTTTTTTGGATTTTGAGAGGGGGGAAAGATGGTCAATGGAATTTTGGTTCCCATGGACCAAGAATCCCATATTCATTTTTCAAATTTATGTAGGGATTGGAGCAAGGAAAGTTTGTTTTTCTAGGTATCACTTACCCATCTGCTAGGTAGGTAAGTAACTTTCCCACCTAGGGAGAAAATTGCTAACACTTGGGCCTTATTCGCTTTTTAGTAAGTTATTTACCCAGTAAATGCAGTTACCTGGGTAAGTTTTTCTTGGGAAACACTTACCCATGCAAGTGTATTTACCCATGTTCTTTTATTCCCCAAGTAAAAAAGAAAATGAACATTTTAGCCATAAAAATCCATTATTAAATGGGGGCATTTTTGTCCCATTTAAGTGCTAGAATCTTTCCCCCAAGGAAAATAAACTTTCCCCGACCTCCACATTAATCTGAAAAAAAGAACATGGTATTCTTGATCAATGGGAACCAAAATCCCATTTACCAACTTTCCACCTCTCAAAATCCAAAAAAAAAAATGCCCCCTTGAATGAAACAAAAATGCCCCCTTTAATAATAGATTTTTATGGCTAAAATGGTCATTACCTTATTTACTTGGGAAATAAAAGAATATGAATAAATGCACTTACCTGTATAAGTGTTTCTCAAAAAAATCTTACCCAGATAAGTTGCACTTGCCCGGGTAATTTACCAAAAAACAAACAGGGCCTTCATGAAAAAAAAAAAATTATCCGTATAGGAAAAGATAATTCAAAATTTACTTGATGGAGAATGGAGATTACATTTTGAGCTCTATAAGTCTTTGCAAAATAACACGGCAGCGTTTGCACTTAATGGCTAATGCATCAATAAGCGTGGTCAAAAGCGAATGCCAAATATATATGGTTGCATACAATATCCCAAACAAGCAAGAAAAAGAGAAAGCGAGAGATGGGTCGCTCTTGTATGGCCAACATATGATATTAGCTGCAAGAAAGAAAGAATTAATAATAAAAATACAACTTCTTAATGTGGCAAAGGTGGCTACAAAATTTTCACGTCTCTAATTTTCTTTCCTTAAAACCCTTCTGGTATTATGTTTTTCTGCATAATAGATTTTTCCCTAGGCTGTGTTTGAAATTGGTGTAAAATATCATCAGTGTAAAAGTATGACAACATTTTACACTAAACCGTGATTAGTGACCGTTGTATTTTTGAAAAGTGTGATATGATTGGTGTAAAGTTTTATATTGATTATCGGTGTAATGTAAAATTTTACATTTGATGACGTTTTACACTGATTCATGACGTAAAACTCTACTCCATTCAAACATACACAAAACTGAACCATAATGAAATTTTACATCGATCATGATTATACACTCCCTCCAAACGCCAACAAAATCAAACCGATGTAAATATTTACATCATTCTTGATTTATACCAATTCCAAATATAACCTTAGAGAAACATCTCATTTATCGGTTGAAAGCTATCCATGCAATGAAAGAAGAATAAAGGGTTTATTGAGAATAAACCCTCTATGGGGGCATTATCATATTTGATTAAATTAGTAGTAATAAATGTCTGTGATGATAAAGGAAAGGCCAAGAATGGTCTGACTTGCATAATTTAATACTTTCCTAGATCCATTCTTTGGATGTATATATGCATTTATATGGTCAATATTTCTTAAATATTAAAATAAGTTTTAATTTTTTTAATAATTATTAAAAGTAAAATGTTTACTTTCTTAAATTTCCATGAACGTGGACATGGACGAGGACTAGGTTCCATACTTCCACCGCGACTTCCACAGTCTAATACAACTTATTCAAGAAAATTAGATTTCATGTCAAACATGATTAATTAATAATGTAGCTTCTAGGAAATCACTTCGTGATGAAACAGTTGACATGGCCATGGGAGAAGACAACTGGAACAGAGATTTAGTTATTATTTATTAGTTTGTATGACATTGACCAATATTATTAATTTAGCTATCGAGTTTAGATCTACGCCCTACAACAAGTCTCACAACACATCTCCATCATGTATTGAAAACATCTCTTAATAATAATATCAGAACCAAAGATGTCATTATCCGAAGATATTTTTAATACACGACAAAAATATACTTTAGAACGTTGTGGGGTGCCGAGGGGCAGAAGTGAACTCTTAACTTTCAAATAAAAGAAAAAGATATTCAATCCTTTAGAAGTTGATTAAAAGTTTGGAATAATTGGAATGCTTTCATTAAATGACTTGTTTATGTAGCGCATCCATCTTTGTGAACAATGAGATGAGTTTAAGTGAGAGAAAATTAGATTATTGGAAGAGATCTTCAAATATTTTAAAGCTTAATTTCAAGTGGCATTTCTTGCTTCAAGCATTAGGGCCCTGTTCATTTTTTCCGAAAGTTATTTATCTGAACCAGGTAAGTGTATTTATATTCTTTTATTTTACAGATAAATACGATAATGACCATTTAATCATAAAAAATTATTATTTAAGGGGTAATATTATTTCATCCAAATAGAACTGACAATCTTGACCTCAAAGTGGATTGAGTTGAGGGTTATTATCCGTTGGGTCATTTTATGAGGGCTGAAGGAAAATTGGAAAAAGTATTTAGGGACGATCGCTACTGGTAAAGAATACTGATGGTCTATGAAGCTTCGAATGCCTGCTCCTCCCTCACTCTACCAAAAGTGATCGCTGCAGTAGAAGAGACCATGGTTTTTAAAACCGAACTGGTCAGAGGTTCAGTTATTGGTTCGAACAGTCTGATCGTTCAATCCGAATGGTCGGCCCATTTTGACTAAAAAAATTAAAAAACAGTCAAAATCATTTGAACGGTTCAAATAATTAATCGACCGATTCAATGGTATACTAACCAAAAATCAACAGTTTAAAAAAAACGGAACTGATCAAATGATC